TTCCGAATCACTAATTCAGTTTCCAACCTGGTTTGCTTGTGTAATTTATTTGCCTAGTCTTCTATACTTCGCCCCACGTTGACTATTTCCAGTTTTATTTACTAGCAAAACCATGGTCAACATCCTTGTGTTCACTCATCATTTCCTTCCAGAAGCAGAATTGCTGAGTCATCGCTTCCTACACACTCAAAGTCGTTAGTCACAACTTGTCTCTCTTCTGTAAGGTGGAACATCGGGAAGGGAAGGGAGAATCATAGAGAAATCAGTCGCTTCCTTTAAACACAACACCCGCCCCCACGCAGGGACACTGACTCTCTGTCTTTGCCTAGGGCCTCAGCAATGCCGTGGTTACTCATGTCTGGGGGCGGCCCTGGTTTTCACGAATATATGTGGGACCAAAGCTAGACCTAGAAATCATGTGAGATTCATGAAAAGCCACCAGCAGCTGCTCTGGCCTTCCCTCTGGGATCGGGCTGTGTTCCTCTTTACTGGTTAAGCCAGCGTAGGTAGGCTGTAAGCTGGAAGACCCTACGCTGCAATCCAAGGCAAGCTTACAGCCGTGGCCCCTGTTACCTTGTGTCCAGGCTGGTCAGGAATGTGGGAATTGTCCTAGAGAGAGTCAGAGGATGTGGACGTGGAGGGAGTCCTCTAACATTTTGCTAAATGAAGACCAGGTGATCAGAAAGCCCCTTTGCCCCAGTCTTCCCAGGGTCCAAGGTTTTGGATTTACCGAGGCCTGTTTCACTTGTCCCAGTGATGCCCCTTTGGGGTGTCAGCATCTCCATGGCCCATTCACAGATCCTTCTTGGTTTTCTAGGTCTCTTCTAGCCACCACCCATGTGCCATGACACGACACGACGTGTACTGTGACACGGCATGATGTGTACGTGACCATGCTATGACAGTGACCTCCCTCAGCCCCCAGGCACACATTCGTGGCTTTTCTCCCAAAGCATTTTTGCATCGCCCATCCACGGGCAACTTCATCATTTGCTGTTATTGTTATCTTTATTTCTTTACAATGTAAAGACTAAAACCTAAAAAATACCCAGAAAATATTTCACTTCCATGAAGCATGGCGCCTGAATATTGAGGACTGTAGTGCTTTGAAAATGGAAAAGTGTTCTAAGTGGACACAGTGGCAGAAAAGGGTGTCCATGCCCTTCATCCATGCTGAGCTGGGGGTGAGGGTTGTGGGGGAGGGAATACCCCACCACTAGTGTTCACTTAAAATGCCCTCTCCCCATTTTTAAGAAAGATGCCGACACCACTTGAAATTTCCTCTGCGGATAAATAACACCTGTTAATCTACAGAATGATGTGAGGAAATGTTTGACTATTTTGCGTTAATAGCTCCCCATGTGAATGAGCTAGCCTAAAATAGTAATAATTAATAATAATAATTATTGGAGAGTTAATGAAAACTTTTTTCATGGATACTTTCTGTTGGTGTAAAATGTGGATTTTTCTTCATAGGCTTATTTGGTTTCCTGTGGGTGGGATACTTACATAGAAGACTAAATTTTATATCCATAATTTCATTAAAAATTCTGTGCTTTTTCCTTCTAACAATCTAGTGATATTTAGATCAGTTTCTTTGTATCATAATTGATAGGTGAGGCAAATAATTACCTTAATAGCAAGAGTCTGTTACCAACTTAAAGGGAATTTCCAAAGTTTTTTTTTAATTCTCCACTGGAATTTCATTTTGAAAATTAAAATAGACTTATTCCTTAATAAAAATTCAAAATAAACATTTAGATACTTCTAGGATAATTATAATTGAGTATTCTATAGGAAGAACAGTTTTCAGGAGCCTGCGTGGTGATGAGCAAGTGGCACTGTGTTTTATTAACTGTCAAGTCCTTTATAAAGGCTTATTGTCAGCACACACATTACTTCGTCCTGTCTCTTTATTTCCAGAATCAGTTTCCTCTACTCTTTCCTGCCCTTTCTCTCCTCTTCCCAGCACTCCTTATTCCTTTTTGTTCCTAACTATCTATGACCTTACAATAAAGTTTCCACCACAATTATCCACAGTGCTTATGTTGTTCCTTGCTGAGTTTTTAAACTATCCTATTTGCTAATTTTATAAAAGTTAAAGTAATCAGAAGTTTAGAGAAAAGTGCAAATGCCACCACCAGCCCATGGAATAGCCGGTGTTGATATAGCTTAAGTTTATGTGCCTTGATGGATTTGGCATATAATTCTTCAGTCTCACGTTAAGTGTGTTTATCTTTTGGAAATCTGTCCAAGTTGATGTGATTTGAGTGCAGGATATAAAGTCTATGCAATCATTTCAGAATACGCTCCCCAGCCTTTAGAAAAGAGTATCTCATGATTTCCTGTGGTCGTTCAGCAGACATTTACCGTAGGCCTACTATGCGCCAGATGCAGTGTTCAGGACACAAATACAAAGGCGAACTCAGGCCCCCTGCCTGGCAGGGGTGGGGGAAGGAAGGAAGAGCTGAGTCAAGTCCTGCTTCTGCCTCCCCGAGTCCCTCCACTCCGTCACCAGCCAGTTGTCCGCCCAGGAGCCAGTTGCTTGTGTGGGCCTATTTCCTTCACTTGGAAAGGACACCATTTTCCCTTGTTTCTCTTTAATGTCCCATTTAACGGTGACATTGTCAGTCTGTAATCATTGCAAATTTTTCTTGAAATCATATTATCACTGCTTGGGCCCCAGCTACATATTGTGGCTGCAAGTAAACAAGTGACGTTAAGATATTCAGATACTCAGATAGGCAAAACTTCACAACTCCTGTCTCAAATTAAAATTTTTGAACCTCTAGTAATATCTGCCCTTTCTTTTTCCACGATTGCACTCATATGTTGTTCATAAATCTTAAGTATGGGGTTTTGGCTCCCTGTTAGGTAAAATTTTTCATTTAACTTTGCCAAAGCCAAACTTGGAGCAGCCTAGGAATAGTTAGGCAGCTTCTTCCCAGCACATCGAGAGTCTCTCTGGAGGGGTGTGTGTGTGTGTGTGTGTGTGTGTGTGTGTGTGTGTTTGGGGAAAGGCGGGGTTGTTGTCGACTCCTCAGAGGACGGTGCGGGCGTCTTCTGCCCAGGCACATGCTGAGATTCGGCCGTGGCTTTGCGGTGGCATCAGTGCCTCATCGCTGGTCTGCAGTCTGTCGCAGCATCTCTGGGCCTAATTTCTGCTTGTAATCTGATTACGGGTCTGAGCTGCCCCAGCCTGCAGCCTCCTGCTTGCTGTCACCACACTCTCCAGGACACACGTGCCTGGTCGCTCTAGCCCTGCACTGTGAAAAGTCTCAACCTCATTTTGCTTAGACCAGCTGAAGGTCCCTGCTGGGTGAGCACTAGCTGTAGAGCAGGCTCTGTGACTCAGCCTCCTCTGGGCAAGCATGTTCAGAAGCCCGGGCCTTTCCAGCTATTTGGGAGCTTTCAAATTCTCTGAGAAACAAGGTAAGGAAAGAAAAATATCAAATGCACTTATCTATGGATTTTATAACATAATGAATGTCATGGAATCCTACATTTTCCCTTTCTTCCTGTGTCCAGTTAGTTATATACTTTTCTCAAAGGACATTTCAAATATGTGACTGGATTTATAAATGAACTTATCTTGCGATTGCTGATAATGTGATTTTCCCCCCCAGTAAGTTAGTTACTGCTAAATCACTAAAGCCTTTATGTAGGAAAAAACTGCAAATGAAATTAGAATGCCCAAACTTTAGATCAAATTCTGGGTATGCTGCACTTTAGCTAAAATATTTTTCTAAACCAAAGGCTGTATACACTAAATTATTTCCAGTAGGCAGTGGTTGAGTGGGTGTCTTTTTATTAACTCTTCATGTGAAACAGTTTGGAATAAGAAGATGCTGTCTTTTTTCCAGCACACAGGAAAATATAAGCTTCCAATTTAACTACAGAAGTGGTATTGCATGTTCAGTTTATTTGTTGAACAAAAATGAAATGCTGATGTTTTCCTGAATGTCATATTTGAATCTCAGGTATTATATGTCAAAAGTATTTTCTACCACAAATGCACTATTAGGAAGTTATTTGAACAATTCAGAACTCAGATTTAGGAATTTTCTTTTACAAGTATTCGATAGCTTTTGGAATTGAGTTCTCTTTCTTTAAATACATAGCAAGATACTTGCAGAATTAGGAAACAAGTCTGGATGTGTAATTGGTATCCTACCTTTCATTTTATTATATTTCTCTGGTTGGCCAGGTTTCTAAATTCCAGGTTTGAGGATGTATTTTGATGGATGATGAAGTGTCAGAATCTAGTATATTTTGTACCTCTTTTTCCCCAGGCTTCTGCTCTTAAATATTGAACAGTAAAAGGTAATTCCTTAGGGGAAGAAGAATCTGTGAGTGGTCTGCTTGTGGTTTTCCTAGTGGACAAACGGTTACTGTGCCAAAAGCTATAAAACAGATTACTTGCCATTAGACTGATTATAAATTTTGTCTGTGCCTGGTTTTGATTAACCTGTTCACTCAGGATGTGTGTTTTTCCTGTATGGAATTGTTACCAGCTGTCTTTATATAATATATATCTTGCCTTCAAAAATAAATAAAAGGTTATTTTCATGTGTTGCTATTATTTAGATTTTATGAAAGCAATAAGGACACAGCTGAGGGGTCCTTTGATTTTAAGATCACTCTCTACCATTTTAAAGGCAGCTCGAACATCTCAGGCAAATTATTTTCAACATTTCTGGTTACCTTCACCAAAATTGCTCAATTATTTTCTCCTTTTTTTCTGAGTATTATTATTAATCTGTTATTCAGTATTTAATTGCTTTGAGTTATCCTTATTGCCATAATATTTAAAGGATAGCATTGAACTGTATCAGAATTTTTTTTTCTTTCTTTTTAACTCATGGAGTGTGTTGGCTACTTTTCAGAAGAGTAAAAAAAAATTGCCTATGTAAAGGAAGTCTGAAGAATGTTTTTCTCATTGAATATTTTTTAACTTACCATGTAACTATTTCAAGGTTACATTGTCTCTTTTCCCTTAGATCTCAACAAGAAAAACTTCAGCTTCATTGGATTTCCACATCAAAGAAAAGTTCCAAGGTAAAGTGGCCTTTGCTGAAGAAATCTTAAGTTTTAAAGATTTATAGTAGCTTTTAAAAGTATTCTCTTAAATTCCTAATTCATGAGTTTAAATGTTTGGCAATATGTTTTCTCCCAGTGTTTGATTTATTAAAATATATGAAGCAAAAGATTCTTTTTCTATTTAACGCTGTTTATGGGAATTATTTGGAGAACAGAACGTTGATATGTCTTATAATTGCAAACTTGTAAAGGGCTATTATCTTTTCTTTCTCACACCTGCCTGTAAGCATGGGCTACCCTTTTGCAATCTGCCCATCAAGGAAGGGAGCTATACGTTTTAGAAAGGGTGTAGCCTTGCCCCCCCATCTTCATCCACCCACACCCGTCTGTCCATCCATCCCTGTGCCTTCCTGTTGCCTGGTCTTGCCGCCTCTCTCTAAACCTTTCTGTACCTCCAGATCCCTTAGCTGCTGTATAGTTATGGGTGCTAATTCCATTTACCTGGTGTGCTACCGCTCCGTGACACACCGTCACCGATGTAAGACAGCGTGCAATGGAGGCCTGCGCCCGACACCACGGCCACATCTCAGGCGCCTCTTAGACCTTAGGCCGCCGTCCCCGAGAGAGCCTGCTGTTCTCAAGCGGAGGCACGAAGTCGTCATTGCCTTCGCGCCCAGGCGTGGCTGTCAGCTATGCTTCACTGTGCGAGAAGGACGCACCCCTCGATCCACTCAGACGTTCTCGTGCCTGATGGAGTAGGGTGACATTGTTTCTTGACTCAAAAGGGTTTGCATTTCAATGGCTTTAGAATAAAATAGTTGTCTAGTTCCTGTTCTCCGCAAGCTGAGCCTAGTGGCTCTGCATTTCTTTTTTGTCCTTTTTTTTTTTTTTTTTTGAGACAGGGTCTTGCTCTGTCACCCAGGCTAGAGTGAGTGCATCATAACTCACAGCAACCTCAAACTCCTGAGTTCAAATGATTCTCCTGCCTCAGCTTCCTGAGTATCTGGGACTATGGGTGTGCTCCACCACACCTGGCTAATTTTTCTATTTTTTGTAGAGACAGGGTCTCGCTGTTGCTCAGGCTGCTCTCAAACTCCTGAGCTCAAGCAGTCCTCCTTCCTCAGCCTCCCAGAGTGCTGGGATCACAGGTGTGAGCCACTGTGCCCGGCCCTGGCTCTTCATTTGAAACTGGCAGAGTTGATCTTGTGAACACAATAGATAGGACACGCCCTTGGCATACCTCATCCACATCTAAGTGTAAAGTAAATGAGAGCAATTAATGGTCCAGGGCCATCAAGAACTGACTCATCTTAACTGATCCATGGATTAAGGCAAGAATCTTTGCTAGTGCTTAGTGCAGCCATAATTCTCATCTTTGCTGTGTTTTCAGTAGAATCTGAGGCTCATTTCCTCATATATCACAATTAGGTTGGCTTAACTTTCATAGAGCTCATAAGTGACTAAGAAAAAGGGAGATAGGAAGGCACTGCTTATTGAAGAACAGGAAAAGCATGAAATATGAAAGTCACATGCTTCAGTGGACAGAGGCTCAAAGGGACACAGCTATTCTGAACTGGTGGGTATTATTTCACATGCACCTATTAAAATTACCACCTACTTGCCACGGTGCGAAGTGTGAAATGAGCTGAGGGACAGGAGCCTGCCTCCTTAAAAGAAATCTAGTCGACCAGACACCAGCTCAAAAGAGACAAAAATGTGAGGTTTTAAACTTCAGTAAGAGAATGAACAGATTGAGGGGGCTTCATACTACATGGCTGTGGGACAGTGTGTGATAGTAGCACATCCTACACTGCAAAAGACAGAGACGGTCACAGCGGGGTACCCTGCCTGCCTTGAATGGCACCCCCCCCCCCGCCACTGCTGCTGGGCGTGGAAGTAGGTTAGTGGGACGCGGTGAAGAGAAAGTTATCATGGAAGCAGGGGGCCATCCGTTCTTAGATTATTATAGAGGGAGGTACGTAGCAGTATGAACAATAAAGGGTTAGCGCTATTTCAGAGGAGATAAAGATAATTGGATAAATGTCTTTCTTATTAGAAAGTGAAAATTATGTTGAAAAAAATTAGGTCTGTAGCATCTACTTTAGTCACGTGTGGGGAGACACGTTCCTGCTGAGACCCAGGCTCGTAATATTGGTTGAGTTGCGCACGGAGGCCTGCAGAGGTTCCCTGCAGAGGGAGAGCCCTTGTCCCCGGCGGGATGGGGTGGCGGATGAGGAAGAGAGCAGGGTCCAGCTTCCCAGAGCTAGGTGCTTTCTGGGGTTACCGGCCACAGGGGTCAGGAACGGGCCAGTCACACTGCTCTGGTGCCTCTGAGTCAGAGAAGCAAGGAGAAGGTGATGCCAAGGCCCATGGGGTGTTTGTGTTTCATCAGCCATAGAGGATCAGGAAAAGCTACTGATAAATGGTCCAGAATTCTTGACTCGTACATCTTGCCTGCATTTTCACTGCGAGTTAGTGGACTCAGGTATAGAAAGTCCAGGGAAGAAAAATGATACTTTTTAAAACACCTGGCTTCACATATTGATTTGAGGGCTCTAGCGGCACTCACAGCTTTCCACCCCCCGCTTGAGCCAGAACCGCGCTTTGCAACCCGAGCTGCTGGTCCTGCTGCCCGCAGGTCTGCGTGCGCAGGGGCGCCGGTCGTTTCGCGGGAACACGGGAGAGGCGGGAGAAACTGCAGATAGCCATGCGGATTCCTGGAATAAAAGTTTACCTTAAGCTGTAGATTTTAAAAATTGATTACTTTATAAACATATGCAAATAGGCTAATGTTTTCATAGGCGTGTGCAAGGTCAACAAAGATAACAAGGACTGATGTGTTCCTAATTTTGTACTATTCCAAAGATGAAAGAAGGAAATAAAGACAAAGAAAGAAAGAAAGAAAGAAAGAGGGAGGGAGGGAAGGAAGGAGGAAGGGGTTCAGAACTGATGTTACTAAATATACCCTTCTGATTATTCTCAGAGTCTGTATCGATTTTTGACTCTGGCCATCATGTCAACGACGTATAAAGTGTACACATAAAATACTTCAGGGTAAATTGTATAGATTTGAAGTGTTTTATAACATGAATTTATTTGTTCAACATGTATTCACTATTTTTTAAAAAATATTTTTAAAATTAATTATTAATTAAAATTAATAATTTTAAATAAAATTTAGCACATTAACTGTCATGTGAGTTGTATTTAACTCATGCTAGTTTTGAGCTCAGGGCCCCATGGAGCTTATGTAACTCACACATCTCTTCACCCTGGGAGCCCAAGAACTGTCTTTCAAGTTGTGCAACAGTGAACCATGTTAAGGAGCACGAGAGACTTCCTAACAGAGCTTTAGTTTTCTGTTGGTCTCTGACGGGCGGTCAAAAGTCTGTGCTTTATATTGGTGCTGACACTATTTGTAGCTTGTTTCAAGAAGTGCATGTGGAGCCAGGCGCGGGGTGCTGACTTGTAGATTTCGCTCTATAAACTTCCCCAGTGTGTTTGACTCAGAGCTTGTTTCTTAAGTCCTCGTTGGTAGTTTCACTGAGCTTTTTGATAAGCAGAAACGAAGAGGGACATAGAGGTCTACTCTGCAGATGTTTAGTTTTGAAAATATGAGATAACATTTGTACACTAAGATCAATGGCCCGAGAAGATGAATGTTTCAAGGATTGCATTGTTTCACTTTCATGTTGAATTTTTTTCCTGAGCAGATTTTAGCTTCCCAAAGAAAGTACAGAACTTTATCAAGATATCTAAATTAGCAGTAAATAATCAGTTAAAATAGCATGCCATTCCTTAAGTAGGGTACATTTCTGTAGTTATTTAATTTTATTTTTGTAGGTTTATACTAAATCATACATCTGAATTAAAAACTGAAAAGAGTCACCACGCTTTGCAATTCCCTGTTTAGAAGTCTGTGCTGATTCCAAGTTCCTGACTAGGCAGGCGTCCTAGGACTGTCAGTCAATGTGGAGTGTGGTTTGTAAAGCTCATATTCTCAAGGCTTTTTATCAAGTAGTGTGACGATGCGACACTCGTGTGTGAGCCTTACTACGATCACACGCAGTAACTGAGATTTCAGATGGGTGTGATCCTACCAAGTGGGAGGGCGTACCATGCTTTGAAATGTGTGTAAGTTCCTTTTGATTAATAAATATACAGGGTGTAGAGTGTTCCTAGTTTCCACTCAGTGTGCACAGCAGCTTTCTCGGTTTCCTCCTCGGCTTCTGTGGAACGGCCCCTGCAGGAGGAAGGGCAGCGTCTGCCGCTGAAGGCGGCGGGTTGGCGCAGCAGCGCGGGCCGCGGGCCTAGTGTGAGCGCGGCGGCGGCTGCGTCTCCCTCCTCTTCTTGTCACACAAGCATCTTTGGGCAAATCGTGTAACAGTTTCCTGTTCTGTGAGCTGAGGCTGATGCCAGTTCCAGGTGCTGCCTCCTGCGTGGGGCTCGCCCGCCTTCCAGCTCAGTGAGTCCGGGGCGCTTGGACTGCCACGATGCGAGTATTTACACCACCAGTAAATGCCAAAACGGGCGCGTCTGGGGCTGAGCGGGGCCAGAGGGCAGCGCCAGTCGTAAACATGAGCACGCCACTGAGTAGTTCAGACCTCACAGGGTCGTGGGGAGGTAAATAAGATAATACCTGGGGCATGCTTAGTGTAGGGGAGAAGTACACAGTAAGTGCTCAATTCCTGTATTATTCTCCCATTGTATTTCCTCTTTTCTTCCAAGGCAAGTCTTCACGAGCCTTTCTGACCTTTTGATCATGCTGTGATTTACTGGTGGTTTGAACACCTTTGTTACTCTAGTAGAATTTCAACCCTGTTGATCACCTAGACAAGTAGCTGATTCTCTGAGGAAGAAATTGTGGCACAGAGAAGTTGAGTGATTAATCCAAACTTACACAGCTGTTCTTGGGCATAGAGGACGTGGTCAGTCTAAAACAAGGCAACGACAATTCTTCATACACCACGCCACCTGCCAGTGCTGCCGGTTATTTACTTGTATTAAAAAAAACAAACATAACATTAACATAAATGTAAATAAATTTAAAAAGTTACCAATTAACTCAAAACATTTTCCCTGTGATCTACATGCATATATTTAACGATGTGTAACAATAGCATAATTTTGTGTTCTACATTTTTTCACTTAATATCATCTTGATTTAAATTGACTTTAAACACTTTATTAATGGAATAATTTTTTAGCTTTCAGAAAGAGTTCTCACTTGAAGATAAAGAACAATTTGCTAAACACAGAAGAGGACTTGATACTAAGCTTTTAACTGCACTTCCTAAAGGTAAGTCTTTCTAAGTGGTTAACTAGTGCCTGGGCACTTAAACACTGTGTTGTCTGAATTTCATTGAGGAGACCTCTCTCACTAACCTCCAGCTTGTAGTCTCCTTTGTGTTCTTTCCTGCCTCACCCAACAATTAGCTTCAGTGAATGGACCTGTCTTCTTGCATTTTTATTTTATTTTATTTTATTTTATTTTATTTTATTTTATTTTATTTTATTGTTTTAGAGATAGGGACTCGCTCTGTTGCCCAGGCTGGAGTACAGTGGTGCAGTCATTACTCACTGTTACCTTGAACTCTGGGCTGAAGTGATCCTTTGGCCTTAGCCTCCTAAGTAGCTGGGATTATAGGTACATGCAATAATGCCTGGCTAATTTTTCTTATTTTTAGTAGAGAGGGGGTCTCGCTGTGTTGCCCAGGCTGGTCTCAAACTCCTGGCCTCAACGGATCCTCTGGTCTTGGTCTCCCAAAGTGCTAGGATTACAGGTGTGAGCCACCGCGATAGATTCTTCTTGCATTTTTGCCTCTCTTGCCTCCTGCAGCTTCCCAGTGTTGGGGCTTTTCCACTTAATACCCTGTAGTTCCCTGCTGGGCTACAGACAGCTGTTGTAGACTATATCATGACCATACTCCTTCTTCCCCAGCAGGTACCTGCACATTTTTTGTGAATTACTATTCCACTGGTAAAGGTGCGCGCATGGTAAAATATTTGTACCAGCTCGAAGCCGACTCCCCTAGTTTTGTCTGTGCGGTGATGTGAGCATTGCTTAATCTCTGCTCTCACCGCCTGCAACACTCGCACAAGGAATGGTCATTTAGTGCCAGCTCAGAACTGCCTTCATCCCAAATGAGCTATGTAACCCTTCATTTCAAAGAAACAGTTTTGATGGAAGGGCAGGGTTTTTTTCCTACTCTGAAAGAAAGAAATAAACACGAAATCAAACCCAAAAGAAGTTAGACCAAAAGAAATATTCTTTTAATAGAAACCAAATCTAGCTGTAAAGGCCCACTGACGAATTGGATTAAATTCTGAGGAACTGAACGATGCTATGCCCAGGTATATATAGTCTGATGATGGTGGGTGTTCCAAAGAGTCCAAGAATTTGGCCCGGTGGAGAAAACTTAAACAGGGACATGCTACAATTCTCAAGTCATTGCAACACTGTCACCTGAAATATAGGCTCACTCTGTGTCACTCCAGAGGCCAAAAATAAAAATAACATCTAGAATTACAAGGAAGTAGATGTGATTTCATATGAGAAAGAAAATTCTGATTGCTCATGGCACCTGGAAAGGCAGTGGACTCTGTTGTGATCTGCTGAGCTCTCCCAGGTGAGAGTTCGAGGGAAAGGGCGAGGCCGCGTGTGCAGGGGTGGATGCTGTGGGGAGTTCCCACGTGGCAGGTGTGTGCACCGGCTGTGGGGTGGGGTGGTCCTCCCAGTATTTAGGATTCTCTGTGAAAGAGAAAAAAACCCAATTTAACCTGAGCTTTGGCTTAAATCTTTAAAACCTGCACAGATGATCAAAACAAAGCATGAGAATGAACACACCGGTGTTAGCAGTAGTTGAGAAGAGTTGACTGACTAGGCAAAGGTCTGTAGAGCCAAAGTTGCTTCCACAGTCTGAAGAGTCCCTCTTTCCCCTTCGCTACCCCTGAGTTCCTTTTTTGATAAATAATACCATGGACAATGGTACAATCAGAAAAATTAAGAACAGTGTGAACTGCTTAAGGTTCCTTAAGGGTCAACAAATTGAAACTTCATATGTAATAAAATTTTAAAACACCTAGGTTTATTAACCAGTTGTATTAGAAAATGTATCATAATTGATTATGAAAATATAAATTTTACAAATCAAAGATAATTTTACATGTTAACCAGATTCATGTTTCTAAATTAACAAAATCCCTTAAATCTTTAAAGCATGCTTTTAAAGCACAGTACCCTATCTCCCCTGAGTTTCCTGTAAATTTCTCAGTCTTATTTCACATATCTTTGCTTCCTAAGAATTGGGCAGGTGCATTTGGACGACCCTTGTATGTTACCAACAATGTCTTTGTTTCTCCATCTTAAAAGATATGTTAATGACTTTGTCTGTCAAGTCTTAACAACATAATGTTAAAAATGAATTGATTATAATTTTGTTTTAATGACTTGGACTTACATTTGGTTATAAGTTTACAGAAGTTCCTTTTTGTTGTTTAATGAGGGATTCTGACACCTTTAAATCGAGCATTACAATAGCCATTGCTTTTCCTCTGTGGGACGTCTTTTAACCGTGTGTCGCAAACAAGCAATCAAGGGATTAAAAGTCTTTAGCTATATAAAGGTTATAATATTAAAATAGATTTTCCACTTAGGAATTATAAAATGGACCAAACATATTACTCTATTTTCTTTAACAGCTTTATTAAGATACAGCACACATACCATACAATTCATTCATTTAAATTATACAACTTGGTGGCTTCGAGTGTTTTCAGAGTTATGCATGCATCAGCACAGTTTTAGAACATTTTCATTACTCCTGAAAGAATCCCCATGCCCTCAAGCCATCCCCTTGCCCGTCATCCCTCTAGTTTGTAAATTGCTTATTTTATAAGCCGGTTGTCTTTATATTAGTGGCTGCCATCCAAGTGTAAAAGTTAGAAGGCATTACTCCTGCGGGACGTCAGGTCAGTGTTTAGAACATTCCAGGTCTAGCCTGTGCTCTCGGCTGTCAAGTAGAGGAAAGAGAGCTGTTCTTGGCAGCACCTCTACCGCCTGCGCTTCTTTGGAGGATTCTGCCGTGCTCAAGTTTGGAGGGCTAAGCGCAACAAAGCCTTAGCCAGATCCTGTTTCTTATTTATTTATTTATGCGCATGTGTAGAGACAGGCTCTCACTGTGTTGCCCAGGCTGGTCTCAAACTCCTGGCCTTAAGTGATCCTCCCACCTCAGCCTCCCAAAATGCTGGGATTGCAGGTGTGAGCCACCATGCCCAGGGGCATTCCTGTTTCTTAGAGCTAACTGAAGAAACTGTGTTTCTCAAGAAAAGCATCTAGCAGACCAAATTACCTGGAATATTGGTGTTACATATTCTTGTTACAAAGTATATTAGGTAGTTAAATAACTTTATGAAGTATTATGGCCCTGCTATCAAAGTTCCTTAATCTCCCTTACTTGAAAACGGACTGACCAGCTCCTATTAGAAATAATAAGTAAAGAAATAGATCATAGAACACATACTGCCACAGCAGTACCACTTTGAATTACTCAAACAAGAGTAGCAGACCAAGATAGAAGGTATGATAAAGGGTGAGTTGGCATGTTTAAAAGTCTTAATTAATATATTTGAAAGCAAAGTAGAAAATTTCTTATTACGGTGGAAATTACACCATCTGTGCTTATTTATATCTGGATTGTATAATAACTACTATTATTAAACCTGAACCATTTATGAATAATAATTGTGACAAAGGATACCATCAGTTGAATTATAGCTTTTGAATCGAATTTTAAAAAGCATTCTTATTCTTTTTCTATTTTTAGGAAATACACACTGAAAAATATGCATCATGCTGCAACTTACTCTTAAATGGTTCAGAGAAAATATTATATAAATATGTGCATGTGTGTGTATATACACATATACACATATACACATGCACACATATGCACACATAAATATACCCATGGAGAGAGAAAAAAAGGATAAAAATAAACCAAATGTAGTAAAATGTTAACATATTATGAAGAATATCTTTTAAATTTTCTGAGAGTTTGAGATTATATAAAAATGTTCTAAAATCCTAAAAGAAAAGAAACCTTCAAGATTATCAATCAGAGGGAAACTTTGGTAGAATTGTAGGTAGTCCCTATAAAGGAAACAACAGAGTTACAACATAGATTTCCACAGCAGGGGTAACTTCCATCCATAACATTTTTAGTATTAGTTTTATGCTAATAATTAATAATATCAAAGCTATGTTTCATATCATTAATAATATTAATAATATTCATATTATTAATAATAATATGAAACAAACACATAGTTAATGTATAATTACTGTACATGTTTGTTATATTAACTTTACTTTTACATTACAGATGGGGGAAAAGAAGCCCAACTCAAAATATCTCTTTACTATTTCTTTTTGTCTTGCACGTAATTTCTTTCTTATAATCTTGTCGATAAAAATGAGAAAATCTTGTAAATTGAAAAAAAAAAGAATAGACTGAGAGGTAATTATTTGTTTACTAGAGGAATTTTTTATTTTCCAAAAAAATTCATTACAGATTTCTACTAAGAATTAATAAGCTCACCAGTGCATTCAAAGTATAGTTTAATGATGACCTAATTTCATTCCTCAGTGAAATGATTGGAGGGGACCCTAAATTGTCATTTCAAGCACCCACTATGTCGATGGATACGAGCTCCTGGGTGCAATAGGCTGAGCGAGCTCGGAGCCGGGCCCGGGCCGGCTGGGAGCGCAGTGGCGCGCCAGTGGTGTCTGTATGGGCCACCCGGGCCTTTCGCCGTCCTTGTGCTGGCATCAGTGGTTCTCAATCCAGAACAGCCCACGAGGGGCTTTGGGAACATATGGGGGCACGTTTGTGTGGCTGTGACTGGGGGTGATTTAGCATTTAGTAGAAGTTGTGACATGCAGGGCTCACCCGAAGGCGCTTCCCCACACGATGCACTGAGCTCTCCGCCAGTGGCCAGGTCTCTTCCGGGGCCGCCTGCGCCCGCGACCTGCCGAGCCCAGCGCAGGCCTGGGAAGTCTCTCCTGAGAGGTCTGTTCTCACACCCGGCAGCGAATGGCGGTGGGGTGGCAGTGCTCGCCAGGGCGGCCCGGCCTGTGTTGCCGGAAGGGGACGGAGATCTCCACGGGCAACAGGACAACTTGCCTTGCCCCGTCCCTCTCCTGGCTGTCGCGGCTGCAGCCTCGAGGTTCGTCCTCTGTGGTGAGCTGCCGTTCCGGCTCCCTTGTCATCTCATCTCAGTCCTCACGGGACATTGAGGCAGGGCGCTGGTGGCGGGAGGCGTGGTAGTCTCCCGACTGACCCTTCTGGAGATGACTACAGGAGATGAAGAATGGCAGGAAGCAACTTGCTGCTTGGCTTTTTTAGGAATTGTGCTTTTTAAACGTCTTTAGTTACATAATTTCTATAGAAAAATTTTAAAATTAGTTAAAAATTTAATGAAATGAAAGTGATTTTCAATGGTCTCTAATTAGAACCAAAAAAATATGTCTTAACTTTTTCCCATGGAAGTTACATGATGCTCTGTGTGTGTGTTCATGTTTTTATACTTACCCAGCTGAAATAATTCAAGGGGAGATAAGCTTGGTGTCATTATAGTACTCCAGACCCTATTAATATACTCTATCTCTTAGTCATGTGTTTGAGTATGGGTTTAAGTCGTACCTGACAGAGCCCTTGGAATTTGGGTTCAGTAGTTTCTTGAGCAGTCTTGGAGAAACATGGCCCATTCTCCTCTTTGGAGTTTACATAATTAATTAAATCTCTTTGGTTTATATCACCCTTGAAGATATTTTCAAAATGTGTATTACCAGCCATTGAAGTTTTATCACCATAATCTCACTAGAGCTAATTTGTTAACTGGGAAGCTGTCATTAACCAAACTTCCCTCACAAGGCAGGTGTACCGTCACTGTTACACCTCTTCTAGAAAGGACCATTATTCTGCCTCCAGCAGCTCTGGTTCCTGGGCGCCACCTGAGGGGACTAGTTTGAAGCTGGAGAGACTTTTTGAAGCCCAGTTCAGCTGAAGTTTTAGGGTGGCTATCATTGAAAAGGGAAACAGAAGAAAACAAGGCTTGTATCTCTGAACACAGTCAAAAGGCAGTGGCAAAGTCCTACGTGCGCGCGTATGTGTGTGCGTGCATGTGCGTGGTTTTGACTCATTGCTAAAAATGACCACTTTAAAGAATAAAACAAATTGAAGCAGTTGATAATTAAACTCCCTGTATTCATAATCCCCTCCTTTGAGTCTCTCCTGTGACTCGGGCTTTCAGAACTTCTTTGGCCCCAGGCTATCCAGCCGCCAGTCCCTCTCCCACCCCTTCCTAAGTCCTGGGTAGAGCCACTCAAATGAGTGAATTTAGGCCATTGAGGAGGAGGCAAGAAGGGTGACCTCTATTGTCTACCAATTTTGGCCATTTCAGCAAAGAAGCAATTGTCTGGCATCGGTCATGTCGCCAGTCAGTGTCATGTGAGAACTCCTAACCTCAGCAAGACATTTTCTCTGGCTGTGCAGTGTTGCCAGAAGAATTGGGGTGATTACTTTATCCATCATCCACCTAAATTATAGCAAGGAAAAAACATGTTAATTTTTCCTTCCAGCAAAACCCTGTGAGGGTGCTTGGGACCTGGGCTAATCTGAACTGCAGCTAATGGCGGAGGAGCCGCGCTGGGCTCTGTAGGAAGCACAGTCAGGCAGTCACAGGGTTTGCAGGTTGCTCGGGAGGGTGAGACAGGCGTGGCTGTGGCTCATAACCGAAGCTTGCTGATGCCACGTGGGGCGTGCGTGCTAGTCTTAAAAGTAGAGACTTTTCAAAATGTTTTCCATAATAAAAGCTTAGAATACTTTGTTAAACCAAATGAAAATTAGAAACAGATATTGGGATTTCTGCTTAAAAACACCTTTGTAGAGAGATCTCACTTGTCAGGCCTCCCTTGGATGAAATAGAACCTGTTTGATGTTTATTTCTGTAAACATCAGAAGTAAACTGTCCTGTCTGATGTTTACTTCTTAGCGGAACATGTGACATACATGTGAGTGTGTACACACACACGGTTACTCATTTGGCATCTTTCTCCCCTACTAGGAAACAACCTCCAAGAAAACAGGAGCTGTGTCAGTTCTGTCTGTCACTGTCGCATGTGAGCCAAGAGCAAAATTTCAGTTCAACAGACACACACTACGTGAGTGAATAAAATGAGTACGTGACTACTAACTACTGGTCTTTCTTTTTGTTCTTTTGTTTCGTTTTAGTTGCAGACTTAAGAAAAATCTTCGAACCAAAGAGGAAAGAATTTTTAGAAATGAAAAGGTGAGATTATTTATACTACAGAATTAGGAGGTGGAAGGGCGTGGCAAAGCAGCCTTTAGTTTTCCTTTAGAACCGATTGCCGTTGTTCACCGTGCTTTTTTCTGGTATCTGCACAGAAAAGAAAGAATTGCCAGGCGCCTTGAAGGAATTGAAAATGACACCCAGCCCGTCCTCTTGCAGAGCTGCACGGGGTTGGTGACTCATCGGCTGCTGGAGGAAGACATGCCTCGGTACACGCGAGCCACCGACCCCACCAGCCCCCACATTGGTGAGCACGGTGTCATGCCAGGTGGCCCAACCTCCGGCAGGAGGCTGGACTTGTTACACGTTGCCATGTTTCACCGAGTGATATCAGAAAATGAAATAGTCCACAAAAGTGTTTGTGGGGATACAAATTTTTTATTACATGTATTTGTTAAAAATAGCAACAGCACGTCTGTCAGCTCTGCCCTGGCCACAGATGTGGGCCTCCAGTATCACAGCAGTAAGACGCGATTCCTCTTGGCACATTATTGGGTAGCTGACAACCAGTCATCTCCCCTTAGACTGGGCCTTTGGAGGCAGGAACTGTGTCCATCCTTCCGTGCCCTCTGTCCAGCTCAGGATCTGCTGTCAGAGACCCTCAGTGAATGTTTGTTTGGCGAAGGAATGGATGAGATCGGTACCTCTGAGTTCTCATGGTGGGTTTAGACCAAATGCCCAGGTGCCCGGCCCAGGGAGCCCCTGCTCTCACAGGGAGAGTTAAAGGCAAAGCCAGAGCTTGAATGATTAGGGCACTTTCTCTAATATTTTGTATTTATGCAACAAAATATTCTGTTGAAATTATTTAATGTGTGTAATTTTAAATACATTGTGTATTTATTTCATAGGAAACAGTACATCGAGCCAGCATAACTTAGCTTTTCCTTGAATAATCAGAGTCATCGTTACAGGCATGAAATATTCAACTTGACCTTAGGAGAGGATGTTAGATGCAGGGCTGCCCTTCCCAGCCCAATCCCTCTGAGCCTCTGAGGGTCTGTGCTGCTGCTTTTGGTAGTTAGTGTCTTCTAGTGCCTTCCTCCGTGAGTGCTGTTGATCTCACATCATGATGTTATCAGTTTGCTTGTCACTCAGTTTCTAATTTTCTGTGGCTAGAAAACTAGAGACCTCAGATATTTTTAAAATGACATGCATGAGAAATCAAGAATAGATCAGAGTACCAAAATTGATAGCCAGAAATAAACCCTAGTGCATATAAAATGTGCACTACATTTTTATACTACATACTATGTGTAGTATGTGATAATTTAAGCATCACATATTAGTGAGAAAAGGAAGAATTATGTAATAAAAAAGTACTGGAAAAATTAGTTAGCTATAGGGTGGGAGAAGAGTATATTCTTCTTCTTACTTCATACCAAATCCGAAAACTAGTTTCAGTTACTCATATGATTAATTTGAAGGAAACAATTGAAAACATAGGTGAATATTGAATTCAAGTGGAGTGGAAAAGGGTTTTCAAAGCATAGAAACAAACAGCTGAAGAAATCACCAAATGAACAGGTCAGTTGACTTGACTACATAACAATTTTTATCTGTGCTTCAAAGAGAGTCTTACAAACACGTAGACTTCACAGCAATATTAAACCACAAGCAAGTTTGAAAATATTCACAAAGATGACAAAGGGCTAATATTCTTATAAAAGTTCACACAAACCAATAAAAACGACACTAAAAATCAACAGAAGGTAAAGCTCCAGCAGACATTCCAGAAAAGAGAAAGAGAATACAAATAGCAAAGAAACAATGCAAAAATGTATATATTCTCTTTTTCCAGTAATCAAAAGCAACTTTTTTTTACACTCAGTGTTTGTGAGGAAGCATATATTGTGGATATAAGTGTAAATTGATACAGACTTTATAGAAATTAATTTGTTGCAGTCTGGCAAGTGTCTTGAAATGTGCCCTTTGGTAAAGCAATTCTGCTTTTATGAGTCTGTCTAGTGTGATCCTAATCAGAAAATCAGACTGACTAGAAGTTAGAAACAACCTATATGCCCAGCAATATAGGAAGGGTTAAATTAATTATGGAATGTCTATTAGATAAAATATTATGAAGTCTAAAAAAATGATGTCTTCACAATAAAATTTCTAAATATAGGAAAATATTTTCTATAGAACTTCAGTAACATTAAATTTTTTAGATAGGAAAAAAAGGAAGAAATCAACTATCTAAAAGACTAGAAGGAATATATAAAAATGTCAAGTTAATCAGTGTATAGTGTGATTACTGGTGATTTGGGCTTCTATCTTCATGTTTGCATGTTAGACATTTTCTACATCAATGCTGCAGTTGGAAAAGGCACTTCTGCTAGAAAAAACAGAACCTGGTGACTGTCAACATGGCCATGTTGTTATGGTTACTATCAGATCCTGCGAAACCACGGTCCATGGCTTGTCACATTACAGCAGTTCAGTGCTCTGCTCTCTTTTCTAAAGAACTGTGAACTCATCCAGTGGCATCACATGTGGTATATTAAACTCACAAAACAGAAAAGTAAATAAGTAAGGGGAATAGGCGCTGAGCAAGGCCTGGGCCCTGGGAGTGCAGGGCTGGGTTTCAGCTAGGCTGTGGCCCAGGGAGCCCGGGCCTGCTCGCAGCCTTCGTGTCTGGCTGCGGGTCTGGCCTCCTTCCAGCCGGCGGCACATCTCGGGGAAGCGCGTGCGGGAGATGGATTGGGCCGTGCCAGCATCGGCGTCTCTGTGCGTCAACACGCCACCTTACCTGAAATCCGCACGTGTTCTGCCATCTTTTTGCAGGCCGCTCAAATGAAGAGGAAGAAACTTCCGATTCGGCCTTCGAAAAGGCAACCCGACCCAAGCTCCGCGCGGAAAGCTCGGGCGCGGGAGTGGGCGCCGACCCGCCCTGCGGGCCTGGGGCCGTGGACACCCGCGGCGCGGGCGCCAAAGCCGAACGCATCGCCAGGTACAAGGCGGAGAGGCGGCGGCAGCTGGCGGAAAAATACGGGCTGACCCTGGACCCCGAAGCGGACCTGGAGCACCTGTCTCGCTACACCAGGTCCAGGAGGGACCCGGGCGCGGCCGAGAAGGGCGCGGGGAGAAGTGACAGACCGGCAGAGCCCGGCAAAGATTCGAGCGCTCTGTACCCGGAGACAGGGACCGCGGGGCTCCGCACCTGTGCAGGTGAGTCCGAGGACTGCGCCCTGCACGGGAGCGATGGCGTTTCCGAGCAGGAGGTGCTGCTGAACATGGAAAACCAAAGACGCGGCCAGGAGCCCAGCGCCACCCGGCAGGCCCATGACCTGGCCCCGGCAGCGGAGAGTTCCTCGGCTTTCTTGTTCTCGGGGCGAGACTCCTTCACCGAAGTGCCAAGGTCCCCAGAGCAGGTGCACAGCTCCTCGCTGCAGCAGCCCGTGCCCAGGAGCCCCTCTGCTGGTGACCCCGCTGAGGCCCGGCCCAGGTGAGCACACAGCCCAGCTAACCACGCCCATGGGGGGCACAGGTGCCCGCGCTGCGCCTTGCCAGGTGCTGGAGTTTGGTGTTCCTGGCATCCTGTGAGTGTCAGGGCTTACTAGAGATAGGTGATGCGTGACTGTTTAATTTCCCCAACATCAGAACAGGTTCCACCGAAGCAGGAAGCCATGTGTTCTTTTTGTCAGTGTGTTTCTGGTGTTCCTTTCTAAAGTACAATGACACACTGAGCAAGTGTCATGGGGACACTCTCATGGAAGCCTCATTTCTACACCCTTCTTTATACAGGATTGTCTACCTGCCTTCATGATTTATCTTTTTGTTGGTTTCTGTGTAATCATACCTAAGACTTGTGGAGTTCAGTGATTGCCTTTTGCTATTGGTGAGATTCATGAGCAGAAAGAACACCACTAACCAGTGCCAGGGATGCAGTGTGGGCACAGAAGTGTGGCTGGTGCATACTGAGCTCGACTGTGCTGTGTCGTTCCAAACTACAGCAGATGCTGACACAGGTGTGTAAAAGAACACCTCATTTAAAAGAGCAACCATTAAGAGAAACTACTGTGAAAGCATCAACTCTAGGTAAGAAAGGCTCCCTTTTGGGAAAATTAAGGAAGATAGAAATTCAGAAAGTCAAATGCAAGATGAGAATGTATTTATTTCTGAATTTAAATAGAAAATGTGTGATGACCATATTTAAAATGTAATTTCCTTAAAACATCCTGCTTAAAGATTTGGGGCAATTGTCTAGGTAGACTCCTAATTGTGGTTTTCAGTTCAAACAAGCAATAGCTTCCCAGATGAATCAAGAATGGGAACCTAAGGTCAAACAGATTGGTTCCGAAAGAAAAAATGTGTATACTAGAAAAATGCCCGTATTTGTTTCCCACGGGGACAGAGTGGGACACCTGTTCATCTGTCTGGGGCAGTCATACATCTGAAGCAGGCGCTGTTAGTTGTTGAAGTTTATTAAGCCAAAGGCCTATGACCACATACTTCATCATCCAGACTGAAATATTTAGAAATATCAGCTTCTGAGAGAATTAAATACTGCAGATCCCAAGAATGTATTTTGAGGGCCTATTATCTTATATTTTGAAATGAGAAACTTTTGTTTGGGAAATTTGTATTTCACAGTAGAAACAGTGTTCTTGGTTTAATTACTCTATCAAAGCCTTCTTGTCTTTTGTGCAGGGGCCAAAGAAATCTAACAGATTCCAATTTAGAAAGAATAGTAGATATGTATAATTCTGCTGGTTTAAAAAATGAAGAATCTTATTTTGGATTGCCATAAATGACAGCTGTTTCAGTTGTTATCACAGGACGTGGGTTAGTCATCTGGATCACACATAATAGGTTCTCAGAAGATTTTTGAATCATTTGTAATAGTAACTAAAAACTTTGTTGAGTATTCCAAGTAAAAAGACAGGATACGTAATAGTTTTGTGTGAGCTAAAATCTTAATATTAAAAAATGCTAAATACATTTAAGTTAACTATGTTTAAGTTAAATACTTAAAGTCTTAGGCAAAAGCATTGTTGACTTATTTAGGCCTGTAACAGACAAAGCCACTTCTTTATAGGTTATTTTGAAGAAGCATATTACCTAGAAGTTTCCATAAGCCTAGCCTTAGCTTCACAGTGCTTTACTTTCATGAAAAAAAGGCTCAAAAGAATTAGGAAATTATAAAAGAATTCCAGAAGAGACACAGGCTTTATTTTTTGAAGCCATTCAAAGTGTAAAATTCTATGATTCATAGGCAAAGAAACACAGATCATTTGATACATATTAGGAAAATACCTGAGCTCTGTTTACATAAAGAGGGATGGAAAATAATGTGTGAAGAATTTGACATTTAAAAATGTTAACATTTACTTTGTACTGACAATAGTCATTAAGCTTGTAAAATGGATTAACATTCTGCTTAGATGTCCTTTATCTAGAGCCAGGAAAAAAGTCATTGTCTGATTTCCATTAGGGAGGAAGTAAGACGAGCAAAAAAACCCCACTTTGCCACCTAAAACAATAACAAAAGAAACCCCTCGGTGACCTAAATGACCATAAGTGAAAATAATGATGTCATTTGATATGGAAATATGTAACAGAAAAGTTTAAGAAGATGAAGAAGTAAGGAAAAAAGTATCCACAAATAATTTTAATGCTGTGCTTTCATAGATTTGTTCTATCATGGAAATGGAATATTTTTCTTATTGCTTTACTGTCTTATCACCTAGCTCTGCCAAGTTTATTCTGGCTGTTAAATTTCTGAATTAACTCATTCCAGTTTCATCATTTTAGTTTGTGCTTGCTAGCAAGGGGTGTTTTATTATTTAAATATGAATATACCACTCATGAGTATACCATCAAAAGTGTCCCAGTGTCCTAAAAATTCAAATGTGAGTCAGATGTATAGTGCAGAAGTGTTGAATGTGCTCATGTACACTAACACCTATACACACTTGTGCATATATACAGAATAATCATTAGTTCTGATATTTCACTGAACTATACTATGTGTAAGAGTTATAAGCTAAATAACAGTCTTTAGGGCAATATTTACCTAAGTAACAAATTTATTTTGGAATTATTTAGTATTCATTCAGCTTGTATGATAAAGAAGATATTTTTAATTAATTATTGGATTGATTGATTGATATTACAGGGTCTTTAGCTCAGAAATCCTGTTAGTTGACCAGAAATTTAGATGACCACACTGTTCTAAAGAAAACCGAGAACACTCATAGTCACCAAAAAGACAAAACAGAGAATAATAAAACACCCCAGTCCCCACTTCTCCAACCCTTCTGAACCTTGTACTTGGAGTTTCAGAGGCTGTTTTTCTGGAGAGGCAGTGTTACTGATATGAACCATTCTTTTTCAATTCAGCCACCCTGAATTTTAAAAGAAAATTCAAAGAGATTTGGGTCCTATGGATTATTGAAATTTTTCAAAATCTGAGCTCCTTGTTTGTCTTTTTTTGTTTTTGTTTTTTCATGGCTCTATGGAGATCTCACATCACTCATGCTTCCACTTAGCAAGTTGTATCATTAGTGTCCAGAATGCGACTCGTGCAGAGCTGAGGCTGACGCTGGACCCAGGAGAGGTTGGCATTGGTGGACGATGGTTTGGTGCCCGTGGGCACCAGACAGCTACAGATCAGCTCAGGAGGACAGACCAGGGCACTCTCTGGAATGAAGCTTCTCTGCAACACCTTGATGTGCTGCAGACTGAGCCACTAAGAAGAGAGGGGCTCCTGCTAGTCACTTGGAGTTATTTCTGATTTACATTCGCTCCTCTCCTGATGAGAGGTTTAGCCTAAAACCTGTCTCTAGTGCCTCAAGCTCTTGTGGCTCTAGTCCGTGGTCTTTGTCTGTGCGCTGATAGAGCTGTCTCCGGGAGAGCAGATGCTGGGATTCCCGCCACCCTGCCTCAGTCCCTGTCCCTGCTGGCAGGCAGGCAGGTCCTCTGACACAAGGGGCCGGGCACAGCATCGTGGAAGACGCTCATCTCAGGCGCCACTCTCAAAAGATGAGACTGCTACATACTCCTTGCAGCTTCTTTTAGTATTGAAATACTTCTAGAATTGGTCCCTGAACCCCCAAATATCTGTGCTCCCCACCTTGTGCTAGCAGCTTTGATCTGTTAATAGATGATTAATTCATTCTCATTTTTTCATTTTATTCTGCTCTCACTGACAGGTGGCAATTCCTGTTCATTGAATTAAATAAATTATACCCCTCAAAATACTAGCTACAGTGCATACTAACAAAAAATTCAAATGTGTGCAAGATCTTAAATGCAGAGTTTGTCTGTGAGCGTGTGCCCTTCCACATCTGATGCCCGTGCGTGTGTGCAGAGCAGTCCTGAGCAGTGTTCCATGCAAGCAGCTCTCACCAAATTAACTGTGATTTCAATGACATGGAGAAGTTAATAGTCATTCTTAATGTTTTATAATCACAAGCTGTTATATAACTAGAGCTGGACAGCCACATGGTGAAAATGATTTTACTGTGCTGAACTTCACTTTGGTAGCAGGAAGCACTTTGTAGTCTATTGACTTTTAGGTGTTGTAGGGAAAAAAAGCATGTCATTATATATTACCATGTGCTTAGGGATAAATAAAGCGTATCATTATATATTACTATGTGCTTGGGGATAAATTAAGTGTATCATTATATATTACCATGTGCTTAGGGATACAGTCCCAGAGCAACTCCTGGCCTTTATGAAAACTTTGGGTGGCTTACTACTTCCTGGCAATACGAATCTCTGCCTGCGTTGCCGTGTGGAAGCATGGTCTCTTACACGTGAACTCGCCCCTCCTTGTTCTGGTCTCTGATGGCCCCACAGTCCTCTCCCGGCGGAGGGAGCCTCTGCCCTGTGGGGGGCTGGTTAGGCCCCATAAAATAAATCCTCTGTTTGTTTCTGAGGACAAGCCTTTTAAGTAAATCCACACACACTATTCTATGATGTCCCCCATCTTTGTTCCTAAAATTTCTGACCTTTATATGACAAAAACAGCAAACTGTCTTTTCCACAAAGATGAAAAATAACACTGACATAAATAATTTTAGACTCTTAGAACCAGAAGATTATGGAGATTATTTAATTAAAAAATTTATTTTAGACATGGGATAAACTAAAGATTTAAAAAGCAACTTGATCGAGACCACACAGCTACTTTGACCAAACTGAGACCATCATCTGTCCACCCATCCATCCCAGTTCCGAGTCCAGCGGAGTTCCTTCCGCCGCACACGCGTGCTCTGTCTGTGCGATGTTTCTCATCGTGCGGAAAGGAGAGTTTGCTGGTTTTGCCCTATGGAGGTTAGAGATTTTAGGACGGAAAGTCAGCGTGTTAGAGACGTATAGAAACATACATATGGAAACATCCATCCTTACGGATTTGCACGAGGTCTTTAGAAAGCCCGGTCCTCATAAAGAAAATGGAAACCTGCAGTCTAGGATGATTCCGACTCATTAGGCATC